TAACAGACAACTGCAGTTATAACTGTAAAATTCAATAAACTGTTAAGAAACTATCAACAGAAGAACATAATGTTAAAAAGAAAAAAAAAAAAAAAACCTTACAACTAAAATTCCAGCTAATTTCCAAGGAGGATACTGGCGGAGGGCAGGGGAAAAAGGAACAGTAATAGCTTCTGTCCAATTACTAATGCTGACAGAGATATGTATTTTTCAGAATTTAAAACTAACTACTAGAGAAAGAAAATCATGTGTAAAACTTCTAAATCTGTGTTTGGGGTAGGGAGAGGTCTGATCAATCCAGTAAAATAAGGGGATGGGGAAGGAAAGAAAAACAAACAAAACACACAATAAAAAGCACAAATTCAGGATGGTGAAAATAAGATCAAACATTAAACTAATCCCAAACATGGGAAGAGGTTAAACTGTCTTATTAAAAGACAGACTCTCAAACTGGGTTAACAAAAGAAGGGAGAAATCAATTTATATGTGAAGATACACCTTACAGAGTGTTCCAAAGGCTCAAAATAAAGAAAATCGGTTTAACTTTCTTAGGAGACAACTAAATACTACATATCAACATTTTAAAAAGTTCTTACACCCAATAATTCTACTTCTTAAGAAATTCATCTGAAGATTACTGAACAAGTACATCAACATGTATAAAGAAGAGTAATCACTGTACCTTCTTTACAACATGAAAAAACAGAAACACTGCAATTATTAGTAGAGTTACACCATTAAATGTCTGCATATAAATAATGGGAAAATATGCAGCCAATATAAAAATTATTTATTCTTGGGCGCCTGGGTTGCTCAGTCATTAAGCATCTGCCTTCGGCTCAGGTCATGATCCCAGAGTCCTGGGATCCAGCCCTGCATCGGGCTCCCTGCTCAGCGGGAAGCCTGCTTCTCCCTCTTCTGCTCCCCCTGCTTATGATCCTGCTCTTGCTGTGTCTCTCTCTCTGTCAAATAAATAATAAAATCTTAAAAAAAAAAATTATTTATTCCACTGATTGGAATGTTGTAGAAAATAAAGTATATACAATGTTTCATAAAAGTGTGCCTATTTAGATTCTATTTGCAGTTTATTTTTTAATTTTTTTTTTTTTTTAAAGGAGAAGACCTAAGGTTAGAGTGGCAGGAGAAAGATACAATGTTGAACATGACGTCACAGAACAGTCTTTCTGTCCCACTGAGTGACAGCTGCCCCTGGCACGGTTCCAGGGCCAGGATGCAATCAAGGGTTTTCTTTCAGCACCAGCTACCAAATCCTGGCCCCAATGTCAGGGGAGGACCTGTGAAGGTGCTATATTTACAGTTTAAAGAAACACATATTTATATATTTCATATAGTTTATACTGTTATACTACAGATCATAAATTTTCTGGGCAGTAAAGTGAAATCTTTACAAAAAGCCCATATTATTTCTATAATAAAAAAAATTTTTATCCTAAACATACGCCCACACAAAAACCTTTATAGGTATGTTCACATCAGCATTTTCCATAGCAACCAAAAAGCTAACATAACCCAAATGAGCATCACCTGATGAACTGAAAAATGAAACAAAATACCGATACACGTTAAAACACGTGAACCTTGAAAATATGCTAAAAGAAGCCAGAAACAAAAGGCCACATTTCCAATTACATAAAAGATCCAGAATATGGCAGATCCACAGACACAGATAGATTAGTGGTTGCTATGGACTGGAAAGGAAATGGGGAGTGCTATGGACTGAGTGTTTGTGTCCCACCATATTCCAATGTTGAAGTCCCAATTCCCAGAGTGATGGTATTAGGAGATTGGGCCTTTGGGAGGTAATTAGGTTTAGATGGGGTGATGAGAGTGAAGCCCACACAATGCGATTAACCTTACAAGAAGAGACCAGAGAGACTGTCACCTAGTTTTCTCTCTGCCATGTTAGGACACAGAAAAGAAGCTGCTGCCTGTAAAGGACGAAGAGGGTCCTCACCAGAACTCAACCATACTGGCACCCTGATCTCAGGCTTCCAGCCTCCAGAACTGTGAGAAGTAAGTGTTTGTTGTTTAAGCCATTCTATGGTATTATTGCTACTGTGGTCTGAACAGGGAGTGACTGCGAATAGGTAAAGGGTTTCTTTTTGGCATGATGAAAATGTTCTGGAATTAGATAGTGGTGGTAATGGCATAACCTCATAAATATGCTAAAAACCACTGAACTAAATATTTAAAAGGATGAATTTTATAATGTGAACTATATCTCAGAGAGAAAAAGGAAAAAATAGGCAAATAAATCTTGTTTATTCTTACTTTGGATTTCCTAATGGTCCGCCTGCAAATTGGGAGTTTCTGTCTAGAAATTCTTGCAAACCTTTTAGTTCTTGTAGCACTGACTCCAACAGTTGGGAGGGGACACTACTTTCAATCTGTAAGAAAAAAAGTATTTTCAAAAGCTTTAAAACACTGAAAAAGTGTATATGTAAAAAACATACTCTTTATAACTGAAAGTCAAGTTTCAATAAACAGTAATTATTTATGCTTGGTGCAGAATAAAGGCCTAGAGAGCCACATCCCTCCTGTCCTGCTCTGGTTTGTTTTAGGTATAATTTACAGACAGTAAAATAAACAAATCTTAAGTGATTATCTTGATAGCTTTTTATGTTTTAATTCAGTCACCACCCAGACAATACAGAATATTTCCAACACCCAAAAAGTTCCCTAATGCTCCTTTCTAGTCACTAGTCATTCCATCTCCCAGGAAACCACTTTTCTTATTTGTCACCATAGGTTAGCTTTGCCTGTTCTTGAACTTCATATAAATGGAATCATATACTATGTTAAATAAATATATTCTTCTTAGAAATGTGAACTTTAAAAGAGTATCAGAATTGAAAAATATTTGGTATCTTTCAGATTGAAAAAGAAAGCTTAAAATAAACTGCATTCATATTTCACGTTAAAAAAATTTTACAACCTGAATTTATGAATTTATAATACAAAGTTTTACAGGATTTATTATTATTATTATTTTTTAAGATTTTATTTACTGTGGCACGTGGGTGGCTCAGTTGGTTAAGTGTCTGCCTTCGGCTCAGGTCCTGATCCCAGGGTCCTGGGATCGAACTCCACGTTGGGCTCCCTGCTCATCAGGGAGCCTGTTTCTCCCTCTCCCTCTGCCTGCCACTCTGCTTGTGCTGTCAAATAAATAAGATCTTTAAAAAAAAAAAAAAAAAAAAACCTTACAACTAAAATTCCA